TGTATAAACCCTAAACCCTAATTTCTTACCCAATATCTTTTTTAGAGTTTAATGGTATAAGACTTGGTAAGGAGACAGAAGAAGAGGAGAGAGGAGAGGCATGCTGTTTGCTGCTGCTGCTGCTGTTGCTGCTATTGCTGCTATTGCTGCTGCTCCCCCCAACTGCTCCCCCACAACCAGCAGCAGCAGCACAACCACCAGCAGCAGCAGCACCGCCACCAGCAGCAGCAGCAGCAGCAGCAGCAGCAGCAGCAGGATGCATATGATGACATAAATCTCTAGGTAATAAAAGAAGAAGATCTATATCTATAGAGGAAGAATTATTTATACATAATATACATGTTATTATTCTTCCTCTTCTTCCTTCCCCTATACATGTTATTGTTACCTAAATAAATAAATAAATAAATAAATAAATAAATAAATAAATAAATAAATAAATAAATAAACAAATAAATAAATAAATAAATTAATTAATTAATAAAGGAGAGACTTAAAAAGGACACAATAAGGAAGAAAAAAGAGACAAAAAAAGAAAAAAAAAAAAGGAGACAAGGAGACAAGGAGACAAGGAGACAATAAGAAAAAGGAGACAAAAAAGGAGACAAAAAAAAAGGAGACAAAGAAGGGAACAAAAAAGGAGACAAAAAAGGAGACAAAAAAGGAGAAAAAAAAGGAGACAAAAAGGAGACAAAAAAAAGGAGACAAAAAAAAGGAGACAAAAAAAAGGAGACAAAAAAAAGGAGACAGAAAAGGAGACAAAAAAGGAGACAAAAAAGGAGACAAAAAAGGAGACAAAAAAGGAGACAAAAAAGGAGACAAAAAAAAGGAGGAAATAAATAGACCTGTATAGGGTATCTGTTGGGTATTTGGCACTCAGCGCCAAATTGAGACCAAACTGCTGGACCCTCGCTACCTGCTACTCTCCTGCAGCAGCAGCAGCAGCAGCAGCAGCAGCAGCAGCAGATGAAGCAGTAGGAGTAGTAGAACTAAGGGGAGAATACTATAGTAGAAGGAGACGAAGCAGCAGCAGCAGCAGCAGCAGCAGCAGCAGCAGCAGGTGGTGCGGTGAGGTGTAGATAGGGCGGTATGCTGCTAAACCCTAAACCCTAAACCCTAAACCCTAAACCCTTTTTACCATTTAAGACAGAGAGGCAGGACAGCTTTTGCTGCTGCTCCTTGCTGTAGACCCCATTTGCTGCTGTCTCCTGAGGGGGGGCCCCATTGGGGGGCCCCCCAGGAAAGGAAGGACTCATCTAACCGCAGCAGCACACTGTATTGTTCATGGGGATAAAGAGTTACTGGTAGATCGCCCTGCAGCAGCAGCAACAACAGCAGCAGCAGCAGCAGCAGTAGCAGCATTAGCAGCAGCAGCAAAAGGGGGAAAAGCAGTAGATTGGCGAACTCTGGTGTTGCTAGCTAGCTAGCTAGCTAGATATACGTGTATATATAGCTAAACCCTAAACCCTAAACCCTAAACCCTAAACCCTAAACCCTAAACCCTAAACCCTAACCTGTGCATTAGAGTTGACACTCCTTAAGATAACATTTTCTACAATAACAGGAATTGAGTCTAAGAAATAAACAAGACACAAACCCTAAACCCTAAACCCTAAACCCTAGCAACAAGGTACATCTCGATATCATCTCCCCTGCTGCAGCAGCAGCGAAAGCAGCAGCAGCAGCAGCAGCAGCAGCACAACTACCAGTCTTGACACACTACTTCCTAAACCCTAAACCCTAAACCCTAAACCCTAAACCCTAATTACATACCTGTAGCATTTTCTATTTGTACATACATAAATGAATCCATGATTGCTGTTGTTACCTGCAAGGGTCTCCTTACTGTCAATAAGGAGGAGACAGAAAAAAAGTGTCTCCTTTTATTTATTTCTTTCTCTAATTGTTCTCCTGTTCCCTATAATAATAATAATAATAATAATAAATAAACACATAAAGGGTTTAGGGTTTAGGGTTTAGGGTTTAGGGTTTACAGGGGAGAAGGGAGATAATTAGCAAAAAAAATCAGATTCATACTCCTTATAAACACTATTCTATGACAATAAACCCTAAACCCTAAACCCTAAACCCTAAACCCTAAACCCTAAACCCTAATTACCAATGCTGTAGCGGATCCAAGGGCTTGCATCATTAATTCCATAGAAAGAGAAACCCTTTCTGATGGAATAGATAGAGGCGAGTATATATCCTCCCCAAATATGCTGCTGCTGCTGCTGCTGCTGCTGCTGCTGCTGCTGCTGCTGCTGTTACTGGTGCTGCTGCTGTTGGTGCTGTTGCTATTGTTGTTAAGGGAAGAGGATGCCTGCTGCTGCTGCTGCTGCTGCTGCTGTGTGTTGTCAGCTCCTGCTGCTGTAGATGATGACGCGGATGTGCTGCTGCTGCTGCTGCTCTTGCTGCAGCAGCAGCCAGCAGCAGCAGCAGCAGCAGAAGCAGGAGGATAGGAGAGGGGACCGCATATAGAACAGTGAGGCTCCAGTGC